GACCGGAGGAGGACACCGTGACCGGAGGAGGACACCGCGACTGGAAGAGGACACCGCGACTGGAGAAGCAGAGGGCCAGCAACAAGGGGAAAGACCCTCACCAGGAGAAGTTGACGCAACAGCGGCCTGAATACAGAGCGGATGGCACAGGCCGGCAGTGACTCTGCCCATCGGGTCCCTGCGACCTGTCAGCACCAAACATCAACAACACGGGCCAGGACCCACTAAATGGAAACACCCTCACTGTTTGGTCCCCGATGACCGCATGACAGAATACTCTGTAATGAGCACAAAGAACGAGGTGGATTTGACACACACTGACTACATGACACCACTGAGGGCCCCAATGCACTGAGCACAAGAACAACATCAACCAAGAAGTCGGATCCCACCTTCTGAGCTGAAAGATGACGGAGCTGGTCACATCAGGCCCTAAAGGTGCAGCGAGATCGAGGGGCCTCCTCATGCCAGGAAACACTCAATGATGCTCATCGAAAGACACCAAAAACCCTCATTCTGAGAAAATCCTTAAACCTCGAACCTAAACCATTCCCTGAAGTTCTCTCTGAACCAAACGACAGTTTCCTAAATGGAAAAGACCGTGTGTGTCAGGCGCTATCCTCCTCAAGAGTCGCTCAGGTGAGGAGACACGTGGGGGACAGTGACCTCGTGTCAGTAATGGCAACGGCACGCGGAAATGAGAAAGGCGGGCTGACACGACCCAAGTTACCAACGCCAATCAGCGGCACACGCAGAGAAAGATGAAGGGGGTTAAGTTTTGGTAGGCCTATTGTACCAAAAATATTAAACAGCAAATAACAACAGCATAAAAAATAAAGCACAAAGAGGAAAAATTATCTCAACCCTATCAGAGCGTCAAGGATTTTCCTTCATAGGGTCGCTATGCGACTCGACGGCACTTAACAACATCAACAGAGAGAGAAAGAGAGAGAGAGATCAGCTGGCCCAGCAAAGAGAAAACGATGTGACCAAGACAAAGGTGAGTGACTTTCAGTTCGCGGCCCTCAGGCCAGTCTTTTATTGTTTCTGTTCAGACATTCCTCTAGGTCGTATAGCCCTGATGTACAAGTTGCCGTCCCGCGGTCACTTGCGGTTGCTGTGAGGCTGAACACTGTGACACAGATGTGTCAGATGCGTTAATAGTTGGCTACCCAAAGCAGACTGAGAGTGGGGTGGAGCTCCCCAATTGAACAAGCGTGGAAGGAGGAGTGGCATCCACTTCCATAACAGCTTGCCTCCGGAAACCCTATGAACCTGGAGAGAGGATGAAAGGCACCCAAGCATCAAGGACTCTCCTTCATAGGGTTGCCAGGAGTCACCTGCGACTCGATGGCTCTTAAGAACAACAACTATCAGAAACTGTGGGTGCAGTTAACACCTGCCTATAGCTCTGAGTTTGATCATACAGGAAAAATTCTTGGTTTTTAAGTTTAACTTCAAGGAAAAGTATAAAACAAGGGTTTGAAATTCTCAGAGGGGAAAAGTCGCATGTTTTTGCGGATGGTCAGTGAAACAAGTCCTCTGGGTGGGCTTGCCACACCATGACAGGTCTTCCTCTGCCACCACCAACTCACATGAACTACGCAGAGGAGGTGATAAGGCACCCCATCAAAGAAAGGCAGGTGATACCGTAATCTAGAGACGTGTTAGCGGCAGGATCTAAGTGACGGGCGCGTGGGCATCTGCTGTAGGACTCTTCCGATGTCCGTCTGGAATTTTCCATACATGATGTTGAGGGAGGGAGGGGAAGTGTGTTCATCGCAGGATGAGACACAACGTGAAGAAAGGAAAGGCTTGTAGGAGAGCAGTGGAGAAGCGCCCTCAGCAACAGGACTCGTCAGCGGTGCCCCAGGGGAGCGGTGCCCCAGGGGCCCCTCCTTCAGGGTAGTGGGCTCTCTGACAACACACTGGGAGGAAGGGATTCAGGTCACTGCACGTATGACAGCCGTCTCAGGGAGGGGCCGACAGAGTGCGTGACAGCTGTGCTCGCGGGGTGCCGGGTGGGCACCGACTCACGCCCAGCCAACAGCACGCAGGGCACAAGGGAAAGGAGTGCGTGTCTACGTGGGTGACCGATCGAACCATGTGCTGCAGAGCCAAGTCTCAGGAAGAGGCTCGCCTTCCCGAGGACCCATTCGCACAGACCCGTCTGACGGCGAAAGCGGCCCCCTTACTTTGAAGGTGCTCTCCGACTCCATGGACAGGAGGTCCCCGTCGAAGGGAATGAGGTCGAGGCTGTACTCTTCCCTGTGGATAAAGGAGCCCAGGACCCCCAGGTCCTTCAGCCGCTGCTCACACAGGAGGCTGCGGCGTGGCACAAACAGAATGTGGAAGTCTCTCACGGGCCCACGTCTGTCCTCGCTGGAAAAGGAAGGCACAATTGTTACCTTACAGGCTCCTCTGAGCTACAGACAACTGTTCTCATTTGACCAACAGGCTTCCCCGCTTCCTGACCCATTAAACTGCCACTGTCCAAGGGGATCCTGACCCATAACGGCCCTCCGTCGCGTTTCTGAGGCTATAAATCTTTATGGGGGGAAATGCCTCGTCTCGCTGCTGTGCGGCAACTGGTGGGTTTGAACTGCTAACCATTCACTTAGCAGTCCAACATCTAACGCGCTATGCCACCAGGGCTTCTTCCTCCGACAGCTCTTTAGATGGACAAATGAATGCTGATGGTCAGACCTGAGCAGTCCCGGGTGCCCTCCTGTTTGTTTCCGGCCGGAAAGCAGCACTGGGTCACAGCCTGCACTGGGTGACACACCAGTGGGCCTTCTCTCCAGTTACCCGTAAACCCTTAACGCTCACAGCTCACTGAGCCAGGTGCCTGGGTCCTGGTGCAAACAGGTGGCTCTCCAGCCAAATCAGTGCAGCTGTGTGATGATTTCAGTTCAAATGAAAGCTCAGCGGTGCTCTCTACCCGCCTTGACAGTGAACTTCCCCAAACAGCCCAAAGCTTTCACGGCAACGGGACAAACAGCTCGAGGTGCCACAGAGCGCAGATGCGGCTGCACTTCCTGTACCAACGCACGTGATGAGAAATTTTCATCACCTCTTCTTTACTTTAATTATGGAATTCAAGCACACTGAGTTTAAGGCGGGGCACTCTGCTGGCACAGTGCACAGGGAGCTGGGCCGCTGATCCAAAAGCCATGCTCGTCTGAGGGTTCAAATCCCGTGTCCTCAAGGTAGAAATATGACAGGGCCATGTTCTCCTGTGCCATTTACAGCCTCAAAAAACCTTCGGGAGGGCCAGCCACAGGCTGGTTCTGACTCGATAGCAACGAGAGAGAGAACGTGATGTGCAAACATCGTGAAAAATAACCTTTAGGCCACCATTCATGTCACAAAACAAAATCCACTGACTTAATGACTGACTGAAAACCAATGTACTCTGTAAACTTTGACTCAAAAGCACAATAAAAGGTTAAAAATAATAATCACAGGAGCTCTGAAGGCAACAAAGGTGACTCTGCAGAAAACTAGACCAACCAGAAAAAACAAAATATCCACTCACGTGGCTGGAAACAGCAGGCTGGAAGTTCAAACCCGCCAGCTGCTGGACGAGTTAACACTGAGGCTGACAAGTGCCGTGAAGATTACAGTCTTGCAAACACTATGGGGCAGTTCCACTCTGCCTACAGGGTCACCAGAGGCCTGAGTGGTGCTCAGTTACAAACCAAAACATTGGTGGTTCAAACCCAGCCAGGGGCCCCTCCGAAGGAGGCCTTGAGAACCCTGAGTGCAGTTCTATCCTATAACACATGAGGGCGCCGTGAGCCAGTGTCAAGGTCATCACAGGGGTTTCTGATGGGAACCTTTGAGCAGCTCTGAACATAACGGTGTTCATGACATGTTACATGTCTGTCCTCCTCCAACTTCAAGAGCGACTTCTCAGGTCTCCCACCTTTCCTGCCCGATTCCATTCCTGTGCTACTGTTAGAAGCCTTGGTGGCAGTGCAGTGGTTCAAGTTCTCAGCTGCAAACCAAAGGGTCAGTAGTTCGAACCCACCAGGGGGACAGGGATGAGATGGTCTATGTCTGCAAAGGCTTACAGCCTTGGGAAACGAAGGGGCAGTGTTACTCTACGTCCCCATCGAGGGCACCGTGCGGTGGAGAGGGTGTACAGCGGAAGGACCGAACTTTGCGAGACCACACCTGCGTGTGGAGATACCTGAGCACGTTTTCTGCAATGATGTCCATCAATTCTAGCCGGGGTCTGACAAAAAAAATAATGTTCTTGACGTCCGCTGCTGGCAAACGACTTCCTTTAAGTGTGAACATTTTTTCCACTTCATGTTCCTAGGGAAACACAAACACGACAGGTGAGCAAATACCTGGAGGCGACCCTGAACTTCCAGGAAGGCTGAGGCATTTCCCACAGCCAAACGTGTGAAGGACTAAGATCAGGATAAAGACTATTGCATCTGAACTCTCAGCGCTTTTCAGCTGGGCCAGCAAAGACACATCTGGAAATCACTGTGTAACTCAACACTAGTAATCCCTTCAGCCCAAGCTCAGAGCGGATTCCCGGACACGCAGAGCCCGGAGACACTGTGGTTCCAGATCACCTTGAAAAAGCAAACAAGGCAACAAAAGGAGCCACCTGCCCTCTTCCTCCCGGGCCGCCTGGTGTGTGGAAAAGCTGCGTGTCCACTCCAGGGCAATCTAATAAGTGTGCGTGATGCAAAAGTCTGAAATACTGGCACAAAGGCCAAAACGCATCACAGAGACACATAGCGATCACAGGGTACTAGAGAAATGGGACAAAGAGACGTGTCCACGCTGGGTCACCAGCAGGTTCCTCTCACGGAAAAAGCTGGATCTGCAACGGAGGACGAGCCACCCTGGTGCACACAGATGCTAACAACACATTAGTGTGGATGCTGACAAAGAACCAAACAGCAGCGTTCTCCGCAAGCCAGTCACCTGGTGATGGTAGCCATGTGCAGCCGAGTCGACAACAACGCACTGCGACCTTATGAACACAGACCTGAACCCTGTCCTCGCCATCCCATCCCTGATGCACTCGAGTCCATGGTTACAGTCCCGGTGTCAAGCCATCTGTTGAGGGTCTTCCTCTCTCACTGACTCGCCCCCTTTCCAAGCATGCTGTCTTTTTCCAAGGTCTGGCCCTTCCTGACAACGTGCCCAAAGTACGTGAGATGAAATGTCATCATTCTTGCCTTTAAGTAGCATGCTGGCTGCACTTTCTCCAGCCACTTTTTTTTTCTTTTTCTTTTGTCAGGGTATGGGCTATTTGGTACTCTTCTCCAATAAAACCCAAAAGACATCGATTCTTCTGTCATTCTTAGTCACTGCCCAAGCTTCAGATGCATAAGAAGGAATAGAAAAATTCAGGGCTTGAATTAGGCCACGGTGCTGTCTAAAATGACAGTGCTGCTTCTCGGCACTTGGAGAGGTCCTCGAAAGGTCTCCCCAATGCAACATTATTCGAAGGAAGTATAAAACTCTAACATCGGTCCGGTCCAGCGGCTCCGGGCGCCGGGATGACCTGGAGCCGCAAGACAACTTATTTTTTTTTTTTTTTTAATTTTATTATTTTTGTGTGAGTGTACCGTCAAATCAGATCTGACTGGTACAGGAGGAGATTGTCCCTCCTTCCCTGGCAGAGGACAACTACTTCTTGATCTGAGTAAAGGTTTCACATGAGCATAAAAAACACACACACACACACACACACACACACAAAAAAAACTCTAACATCGCTGCTAAAGGATGAAATTACATATTCCCAAATCAAACTCAAGGATTCCCTTTACCTTCAGGAGTGAGTACTGGGCAATTAGTCCAAAGGGTCCTGTTAGGTACTCGTCCCAAACAATTGCCTGTAAGAGCAGAAAACATTTCCTCATTACGGCTGACATGAGGAATTTCAACAGCATCAAGAGTGACATACAACACAAACTCCAATTCAAACTCAGTTTAACCAAAACGCTGTTGGTTCTATGACATTAATATCCGAAACTCAGAACTCAAACTTGTTGCTATCAAGTTGGAACTGATTCATAGCTGACCCTCAAACAGATTTCCAAATTTGTAAAAGGCGTACGAGACTGTCCCTCTCTTACCAGGAACTACTGGTGGATCTGCAGCACCGTGTGGGGCAGACTTTGGGTTACCAGTGAGCTCTCTAAGGACTAAAGAAAAATAATCTAAAACAACTATGAGATATCATTTCACCCCAGTCAAAATAGCAAAATTTAACAGAACAGCAAGCAACAAATGCTGGCGAGGTTGTGGAGAAACTGGAACCCTGATTCACTGTTGGTGGGAGTGTAAAATGGTGCAACCCCTGTGGAAAGCAGTATGGCGCTTTCTCAAAAAGTTGCAAATAGAGATACCATTTGACCCAGCAATTCCACTACTGGGAATATACCCTGAAGAGACCATAGCTGACATCCAAGCAGATATATGCACACCCATGTTTATTGCAGCTTTGTTCACAATAGCAAGGAGTTGGAAACAACCTAAGTGCCCATCAACAAACGAATGGCTAGAGAAGCTGTGGTATATTCGCACAATGGAATACTATGCTGCATTAAAAAACAAGGAACTCATGCAATATTATTCAAAATGATTGACTCTGGAGAACATTATGCTGAGTGAAATATCCCAGTCACAAAAGGACAAATATTACATGATGCCACTGTTGTAGAATGGGACTGTCCTTGGGGTTGGGGAGAGACTGAGTAAGATGGGTTCAATAATGTATACTGCACTGAAACAGAGGAGGGAGAGAACCGTTTAAAAGAGAGATGTAACTGGGTATTTCTGTCATCACAGGAGACTAGAGCGAGGGCTGCATGGTGGAGGGGACCTGGGGGAGGGTTTGTAAAACAATGAAAGAATCTTTTCTTTTACTTTTCCATAATTTTTGGACACATGTACTTATAACTTGTTAGTCAAATTTGTGTCTTCTAGGTTGCAACACCCCCATGATACATCTTCAAGGATATGAACATGTACGGCCAAGCACAATCAATAAGCGTGCATCTAAATTCCAAAATCAATCTCCATAATAGTCTATGTGTTTCCTACTGCCAAAGGGGCCCTTTAGAGTAGTGAGAGAAGATCTTCACCCTGAAACCCACAGCGTCCCTTTTCAGCAGGAAGTAGCTAAGGGAATACGCCGTCCCCTTTTCCTTATGACTCAGGGTGAAGTCTCTCTCAGGGAGGAGTGATAGGGAATGGCAAAGGATACACTGACAAAGAAGATTAATCAGAACTGGCTTTGACAAGCACTGTGGCATTTGGACAAGAACAAACTGGGAGGAGGGTAGAGAGAATAGTGCAACAATGAATGAGTGGAAGCCCAAAATCTCTGTAAATGTTTATGAAAATTAATAAAATATAATTATAGAAAAAAAAATAAAGAAAAATAATCTCAGGGCAAGTGATGAGCATTGGGACAGTTATGATAGCTAATTGCTATCCTGGAAAAAAACAAGATACTATGAAACCACAGAAAACATCATGGAATTAAATATGAGACAGAACTGTATCAAATTTCCACTTGGTTCAAGCACCTACTTAAGATACATATATAAGTCTTGTGAAACAAAAATGTATTTAATGTCACTAAATTGTGTAGAAATTCAACCAGCAACTGTTTGGATAAATACGGACTTCCATCATAATAAAAAAGAAGTAACAGAGATCCTATGCACACTCTGCCCTGTTTCCTCCAACGGTAACATTTTTAAAAACAAACACAGTATCACAACAAAGGCTCTGACAGGGATACAATCCCATGACCCTCTTATAATCTCTGCCCTTCCTGAGCTCCACCAACTGCTTCCCTGGAGAAAGACAGGTAACTCTCCTTCCCTGGAATTTCAGCCCCTGAAAACCTCCTGGACGATAAACTATGAGTCAGTTCTGACTTGACCACACAGCAGCGGCACCACCAATTCCACCTTCTTAAGTTTCTGTTCTCTCCAAGCTCTCTGTAGATCTGAAGAGCCAGAACACTGTTGTCAGAATCCTACAGAGTCCTTGATCTAAAGGTTCTGACACTCTTCAGAGCTGAGTGTTAACAAAAATCTAGCAATTTCTATTTTGGAAAGCTCAGCTAAACCCCTAAAGCACGATTTACCTTAGAATCTGAGGAGTAGATATGCAATGGTGGCGCTTCCGAAACTTCAGGTGATCAGTAATGACACCTTTGCTTGTTATGAGTGACCATTATGTCTACCTCACCGGGTTATAGCAAGCGAACACTGCATGTATTGTGAGGGAATGCAGTGATCTCTGAACTGCAGTGGATGGACAGTCCCATTTCCCTCCCTGGGGCAGGCAAGCCCAACGGTTGTGCCCCAACCAGCTCTGTTCCTCAGTCCCTGGAGCGCTCGGGTCAGTAAATCAACCCACTGAAGGGCTGGGCCCTCAGGAGGCTGGACAACGACGGCTCCGGGCCCCAGGCGGGCCCCAGGCGCAGTGGACGCGCGCCCACAGCTCAGAAAGACCGGAGGAGGAGGCTCTGCTGTGCCGTGCTCACCTTGCTCCTGGAGCCCCCCCTGCTCCCCGCCTCACCTTCCTCCCCGCGCCCACCTTGACCCCCGCGCCACCTTCCTCCCAGGGTCCACCTTCCTTCCAGCGCCCACCTTGCTCCCCGCGCCCACCCGGGACCCCGCGTCCACCTTGCTCCCCGCGCCCACCTTCCTCCCCGTGCCCACCTTGCTCCCAGTGACCACCCAGCCCTCCCCGCGCCCACCTTCCTCCCCGCGCCCACCTTGACCCCACGACCACCTTCCTCCCCGCGCCCACCTTGACCCCACGACCACCGTGCTCCCCGCGCCCACCTTGCTCCCCGTGACCACCCGGTCCTCCCCGCCTCACCTCCCTCCCCGCGTCCACCTCTCTGCCCGCGCCCACCCGGGACGCCGCGCCCACCTTGCTCCCCGCGCCCACCCGGGACCCCGCGTCCACCTCGCTCCCCGCGCCCACCTTGACCCCGCGCCCACCTTGCTCCCAGTGACCACCCGGCCCTCCCCGCCTCACCTCCCTCCCCGCGTCCACCTCTCTGCCCGCGCCCACCCGGGACGCCGCGCCCACCTTGCTCCCCGCGCCCTCGCGGGACCCCGCGTCCACCTCGCTCCCCGCGCCCACCTTCCTCCCCGCGCCCACCCGGGACCCCGCGCCCACCTTGCTCCCCGCGCACTTGTCCAGGAACTCGCGTAGCTCCCGGCGCACGGCCTCGCGCAGCACGTTCAGGTTCACTCGGCCGTAGGACAGGTGGGCCGCCATCTTGGCCCCGCCCCTCGCCCACCCCGGGCGCGCGCCGTGACGTCAGGCGCAGGGAGCGGTCACGTGAGGCGCGCGGCCCGGTCACATGACGGGACGCGCGCGTGGCCGACGTCACGGTCCCTGAGCGGCCCTGCACTGGCTCCCTGCGCCCGTGTGCTCCTCCCGCGCCCGTGTGCTCCCCCTGCGCCCGTGTCCGCCTCCTCGCTCGCCCCCCGGGCTTTCCGCGCGGCTGAAGGCGCCGTGGCGCGGCGGCAGCGTGTGGACGGTGGTATTTGCTGTTTGTTGCACATTCACTGCCGTCGCCGCAGCTTTGGGCGCCTGGGACTCTTCCTCCTGGGAGCAGCCGCTGGGGTCCCCGCCACCTCTTGTTCTCAGGACCCGCCCGGAGCGACGGGCACACCTGTTGGTGTAGTGCGCTTCGTACAGGTGGAAACCTTGCGGGCCGGGGTGTCAGTCTGTCGGCGCCGTTTTCCCAACCGCTTGTGCTCACTTCACGTCTTTGGGTCAGGTTTTGGCGATTCTCACATTATTTGAAACCTTTTCATGATGCGATTACACACTTAATCGACTACAGCGTAAATTGTAACTTTTCCGCGCACAAAGGATACCGAAAGCATGTGGTTTCTGTGCTAGTTGTTAGGGAGGTGATCTGACATGGAACCCACACTGTCCAAACTGCCCGTCATCATATGCATGTCTTACAGCCAGGACTCCTCCTCCTCGTCTGCAGCCATTGTACCTTAACCACATCCTGTGATTTGTTGTTAAAGGCCGGCCCGTCTAGGGACCTTTGGTGGACTCACGGGGAGCTGTGTGTGCTGCTAACCCGAAGGACACCCTTCCCTGTAAACTCATATTCACCAGTAGTTCATGGGAGAAACACTGGCAATCTCTTTCGTGCCTTTTAATCTTGGAGACCCAATGGCGGGTTAGCTACGAGTCCGTTCTCACTCCATGGCAGTTTTTTTGAGTCTGTCTCAGAGCCGCTGTACAACTCCTGCCCATGCATTTAGCTCCAGTTACATGGTGGCAGTGTGCTGTGGGTTCAGTGAAAAGAGACAGATGATCACAGCAGCGCGACAACGGCCTCGAGCTCAGCGGCCTTTTTGTGGACTGGTCAGTGCTCTGTTCCGTCCTATGGGGGTCCCTAGGAGGCACTGTTATCAACAAGGAGCCCGGGTGGTGTGTGTGGTGGTGAAAGAATTCAAACTGGTAACCCAAAATGAAAATCCACCAGCCACACTGGGTAAAAGACAAGGCCGACTGACATCCTGGGACCGTGTGGGCATTCTGCTCTGTTCCCCCCCGGATCCTGGGTCAGCACCCACCCATGCAGTAGGGAAGAGTGGGAAAGGGAGTGCCCACTCAGTGCTCCCAGCTCCGGCTGCTCTTCAGCCTCTACAGACTCTTTCTTGCTTTTCATTTGAGATAGACGTCGTGCTTTTTAGCTCCACAACATATTTAATATCAGATGTGATTTTTTTTAAATTTATTTTTGTGTGCGTGTACCGTCAAATCAGATCTGACTGGTACAGGAGGAGACTGTCCCTCCTTCCCCGGCAGAGCATCTGGTGGATTCGAACCGTGCACCTCTGGGATTGTAGTTGCAGTTCCTTGCCACTAGGCCACCAGAGCTCCCCAGATGTGATTTTTTTTAAGCTCTTGAACAGCCAAAACTACTGAAATCTCAACCGCGAATGGAATCCTAACCATGATCAGGATGATAAAGTTATCCTCTTCCCAGAGCTCCAGGATGCTGGCAGAAGAGCAGCTAACCGCGATGCTTTCACAGATCACTGGGGGCACTGCTGCACCGCTGCACGTGCCTTACAAACACTGGACCCTTGTTTAGTCTTAGTTTCTCAATCCCCCAATGTCAACATCAAACAGCAAGACTACTGCTGCACGGTAGAAGCTAGAGTGGTGTCCACTTCCCAAACCACATGCCTCCGGAAACTCTACGAACTTTGATAAATGACCATGGTTGTAGAGGGGCTTCAGGCCTTTTGTTCACAGGGTCGCTGGGAGTCGTGCCCGACTAGAGGGCAATCGACAACATAAGGAACCCTGTGGTGCAGTGAATTAAGTACTCTGCTGCTAAATGCAAGGTCAGTGGTTCAAATCCACCAGCTACAGTGAAAAAAAAAAGATGACGCCTTCTGCATACATAAAGATTTTACAACTCTGGAAACTCTGTGGTGCGGTTCCACTCTGATTTACCACGTTGCTTTGAGTCAAACCTGACTTGCCAGCAGCAGGTGGGACACTAGGTATTATTAGGTAAAAATAATTTGCTCCTAATCCACAACATAAACAGTCTTCCCAGTATCCTGGAAAACCTAAAACCAGGAGAAGATAACATAGATGAATGGGATCTTCTAAGACTCAAATCCCTATGCACATCCAAAAACTTCTCCAGTAGGGTAAAAAGGGAAGCCACTGACTGGGAAAAAGTATTCGGTAATAACATATCAGATAAGGGACTTATATCCAGAATTTATTAAATACTTGACCACCACAACAAGATAAAGGTAAAGAATCCAATAGAAAAATGGGCACAGGATATGAACAGGCACTTCACTGAAGACGACATTCAGATGGCTAACAAGCACATGAAGAAATGCTCAAAATCCCTAGCCCTAAGAGAGATGCAAATTAAAACAACTATGAGATATCATTTCACCCCAGTCAAAATAGCAAAATTTAACAGAACAGCAAGCAACAAATGCTGGCGAGGTTGTGGAGAAACTGGAACCCGGATTCACTGTTGGTGGGAGTGTAAAATGGTGCAACCCCTGTGGAAAGCAGTATGGCGCTTTCTCAAAAAGTTGCAAATAGAGATACCATTTGACCCAGTAATTCCACTACTGGGAATATACCCTGAAGAGACCATAACTGACATCCAAGCAGATATATGCACACCCATGTTTATTGCAGCTTTGTTCACAATAGCAAGGAGTTGGAAACAACCTAAGTGCCCATCAACAAACGAATGGCTAGAGAAGCTGTGGTATATTCGCACAATGGAATACTGTGCTGCATTAAAAAACAAGGAACTCATGCAATCTTATTCAAAATGGTTGACTCTGGAGAACATTATGCTGAGTGAAATATCCCAGTCACAAAAGGACAAATATTACATGATGCCACTGTTGTAGAATGGGACTGTCCTTGGGGTTGGGGAGAGACTGAGTAAGATGGGTTCAATAATGTATACTACACTGAAACAGAGGAGGGAGAAAACTGTTTAAAAGAGATATATAACTAGGTATTTCTGTCATCACAGGAGACTAGAGCGAGGGCTACATGGTGGAGGGGACCTGGGGGAGGGTTTTTCTCACATTATTTGAAACCTTTTCATGATGCGATTACACACTTAATCGACTACAGCGTAAATTGTAACTTTTCCGCGCACAAAGGATACCGAAAGCATGTGGTTTCTGTGCTAGTTGTTAGGGAGGTGATCTAACATGGAACCCACACTGTCCAAACTGCCCGTCATCATATGCATGTCTTACAGCCAGGACTCCTCCTCCTCGTCTGCAGCCATTGTACCTTAACCACATCCTGTGATTTGTTGTTGGGGCGGGAAGGGTCAAAAGCAGCGTGCGTCTTGAGTCGAGTGGGCACACACAATGCTGGTGTTAGGTTGATTAATCAGAACTGGCTTTGACAAGCACTGTGGCATTTGGACAAGAACAAACTGGGAGGAGGGTAGAGAGAATAGTGCAACAATGAATGAATGGAAACCCAAAATCTCTGTAAATGTTTATGAAAATTAATAAAACATAATTATAGAAAAAAAGAAACAAAAAAAATAATTTGCTCTACTAGTAACTGTTTCAGAAATATCTATCTGGGGGAAAACTGTCTCTAAACTAGAAGTCAAAATACCCACCTCACGAAATGATTCTGTAAAATACTTTATGTAAATATCACAGCAACTTTTTCTGTTATCTAATTTGGTGTGCTGTTATGAATAACCACTTTAGCTATTTAATTTATGCTTAATGAGCCCAGAACACCTGGAGGTAAGAAAGGGCAGAGAAATTCCTTAAAAGTTATTTAGCAAAAAAAAAAAAAAAGTTACTTAGCAAAAAAAAACCAAAAAGCGGTTTAGCAATAACACTGTACTAGGAATTTCTATTTGGGTCTACTGTTCTTGTTAGAAGAAAAACTATTATGACCAAAAAACCCCTTGAGAATAATATCAACTTAGTACCATTGGCAAAAAGAATATTTATTTAGATAAAGCATACTTGTTTGCTTACATTTTAATACTGCTTGACATGTTTTCTGTTTGTGAAACAATTCCTATTATGTTCAACTGATTACAGATTTATTTAATATCCACTTGTCCAACATACAGTTGACCACCTTGAGGGGAAAATATAGCCAAGGAATATGTACAATTATAGAAATTCTTATTATACACGGAGCATGGAAGATACATTTTATTCATCCCTTTTTACACTTTCTAGAAGACATTCAAATGAAGATAAATAGAATCTAACTGGCTGATATATTGTTCTGGTGGTTGAGGTCCTTCAATTACTTTTTTGTGATAAGAAAATCCAAAATTATTTTAAGTTGAATTTCTCATCGTACATTCATCTAAGAACACAGTAAATAAATACTTATAAAGGAAGACTGTAGGTTAGCTAATCTGGACACGTTACAGTGGCTTAGGATCTGTTTAGGTGTGCGCTGAGGATCTCTGCTAGAGAAGGAAAACACCTTTGGAGACCGCCCTCCCAGCTATTTGAATCTGGTAAGGAAATGAATAGAAAACAAACTGAAATAAGTCACAAAGCCACAGAAGGCCACGGCTGGCCTCGCTAGATATGTCTTGAGCATTTTAAGTGTTGTTCCTTTCTTTTTTTCCCCACCTTCCCTATAAAGGTAAAAATGCGAAAGACACACTGTGTATGGGTTTTTTTTTCCCAAAATAGATATTTTTTAAAAATATATACATAGTATATAGAAGCTGAAATTATGTAAAATCATTAAACAAAAACAGCACAGTAGAGTAAGTGGGTGCAGCATATAGATTCTGAAACGTCCCCACAGCGGCCTGGGGGCTTCCCCCTCCCGTTACCAGTTTCATGATTGTAAAAGCACAGCTCAGGAGCCCCACGCCTGCAGAAGGCACTACTGACGTTAGGTAGTGCGGAGAGTTCAGCTGGTTCTCAGATTAGGAGTAAAATACTTCCTAGTGAGTACATGAAAATGCAAAATGGCACATTTCTTTCAACTCATTCCAGTGTCAAAGCTTAATGATAACAACAAAAAAAATACACCACCAAACCAGGCAAAACAAAATTCCAAATATACAAATGCATCCTGGAAATATTTTAGTGCAAATATGAAAAGTAACAGCACAATTTAAAGTTCTTTAAATAAGGTCTTGGACAGTAATAAATGTAATGGCATCTGGTGCAAGATCTTGTTTCAACTTTTTAAAAACGGAGACAACAAAACCAGAGGTGAAAACCCACCTGGCTAAGGATTTGTTTATTCTTCTAACTTAGGAAAGGGAGGCTGAAAAGGGCTATCTGTGGAAGATCAAAATATGTTCTGTGATTTGTTGTTGGGGCGGGAAGGGTCAAAAGCAGCGTGCGTCTTGAGTCGAGTGGGCACACACAATGCTGGTGTTAGGTTGCGCGGTGCCGCTGTCCAGGCGGCTCAGCCAGCGTCATCAGAAGGTCTCATCGTCATTGCAGTTGGTGGCCCAGTGCCCAAACATCTCGCAGATGTCACAGTAAGGGCGCTCCTCGCTCCGGCTGCCGTGGTGCGTGGAGTGGGGCGGGTCCTCAGATATCTGTGCCTGGGTCGGACAGTCCTCTGTGTCGTGGAGGTCAAAGCAGTCACAGATGTCACAGAAGAGGCGCGGTTTCTTCTTGGCCTGCTTCTCCTGGTCATCACTACAAACAAGAACAGTCGCTGTCAGAGCTCACCTCTCAGTTCAGCAAAGGCAGGAACAGCCACACTAGTGAAGCGTCAAAAAGGAAGCAGAACCGCTTATGGCCAGAGGAGTCCTGGTGGGAGGAGGCTGCTTATGTGCTGGGCTACTAACTGCAAGGTTGGCGGTTCCAAGCCAATGGAAGCTGCTTGGCAGAAGACAGACGAGGCAGCCTCAGAAACCCAATGGGGGATCAATATGTATTGGGCTCTGCAGTGGAGGGACAGTGAGAAGTAGACCAAGTCTGAGAGCTTGCTGTCCAAGCATTTGTAATCTACCCTGCTCTTGCTGTTCTAGAAATTTATGACCAAAGGAGCCCTGGTGGCTCACTAGGTTAAGCACAGGACTGTCAACCCAAAAAATGTGTAGTTCAAAACGACCAGACGCTAGAGGGAAAAATACGAGGAAGTCTTCTCCCTCAGGGGCTTAGAGTTGACAATTGTGAGAATCCTGTGAGGAAGCTCTCTTCTATCCTGCAGGGTTTCTACGAGGGTGCATTCTTTTAAAGGCAGGTGTGGCTCACGTGCAGCTATCTACCACATGTCTGCCAGTGGAAGCCTGCGTGCTGCAGCCGAGCTGAGCAGACTCCAGTGGGGCTTCCGCACTCAGATAGCCTAGCAAAAAAGGCCCCGTGAGCCCCCTGATGACCATACGGCTCACAAGAGTCCAACTGCAGCCGGCCCTGGGAACGGCACGGGACTGGGCAGGGTTTTCTTCCTGGGGCTGCTGTGTTACTGGCAGTGAACGTTCATGGTCAAGTACCACAAAGCACTCAAATTGTTACAAATGCCTCTAAGGTCTGCATGCAAGAGGGCATCTACTTCCTAAAAACCATGCCCCTGGAAACTACAAACTTGGAGAAACAATAGTTCTAGAAGGCTTCAGGTCTTTTGTTCATAGGGTCGCTATGAGTGGGCTCGGCAAGATAGCAGCCAACAACAAGGTCTGCGTCAGCGCCTCTGCTCAGAGTACCTGTCATAACTGTTCAGGTCGTCCCCGTTGCCGTTGAGGGCGGCTTCAGACATCATCTCCACTTTCATCTTGAGGTCTTGATTCTTCCTTTGAAGGTCTACTATGACTGAGTTGAGGAAATCAATCTAGTGGGAAGGGAAATGAGAAAAAAGAAGCAACAGATAGTCTAGTTCCACTCAAGAAACCAATCCAAAACTTTTCTGTTCTGTGAATTTGAAAGTCACACGGGCATTCACATCAGACCACACTGAACAACTATGGAGAGCTAACCGAGGCAACCCAGTGGCCCTTTGGTTTAAACCCTTGGCTTCCCTGAAAGGCCGCTGCTCTGCACGACAAAGAGGAGGCAGTCTGCCCTCATTAACCTTCAGAGCCCTGCAGGCAGGTCTGCTCCGTCCTATGGGGCTGCTAGCAGTCAGAATCCACTCTACAGTATTAGGTGTGTTTGGCTTAAGCTGCAGACTACCCAGAGTGAGGTGGTAAGGGGGAAATGAAGCCTCGACAGAGAAAGCTAGAGTTCCCTCCCTCCCACCCCCAGGAGAGAAGCGCAGGCACACGCCAGGCGGGCTGGCCTCCCCAGCCGTGCAGACGGAGCAAGAAAGCATGGGCTGAGAGTGCCTAGGCCTTGGGCAGCGAGGGGCCTGCGGGGGGATCTGCTCCTGACCATTAGTGTCTTCACTTGAGAACATTTAAAACAAAATTTCTTCGCCCTTGTACAAACATTAAAATGGTCTAATTTTTCTAAGTGTTCACTTTACAATCTCTTTCTCTCTCACACACACACTAACTCTCATTTTCTAAAGAATCAGGCGGAGTCACTTGGCTTTTCCTCCTCCTGCTGGGCTGAGCTCTGACACTCTACTCAAGACCACGACAGCCTCCTCAGCAGGAAGCCCCTTCTGGCTGGGAACGAGGCCAGCACTGAGAGCAGAGCGCAAGTCCGTTTTTACGTCTCAACTGGATTTCAGGTATTTTATTTGTTAAGTCATTATTCTGCTAAGAGGAGTCCTGGTGGTGCAGTGGTTGGACATTCAGCTGTTAACCGAAAAGGCTGTTCCAACCTTGCAGCTGCTCTTTGGGACAAAGCTAAAGCCATTTGCTTCTGTGGCTTGGAAGCCCCAGGGCAGTCCTGCTATGGCCTGGAGGGCCACTGGGGTCACACTGACTAGCTCCATTTCAGGAAAAAAAGCCACAAAATGGATTTAACTATAGTGGGAAGCCACACACACACAAACACGCGCATGCACACGTATGTCCTGAAACGTAACACCAACCATTTGCTGATGGAAGAAAAGTGTTGTCAGCGGCAGAAACAAGTGGAAGCAGAAAGGAGGCAAAGAGGAAACACGTAATTAGATGTTATGTCTACGAGGCGAGTAAACCCAGCAAACATGCGAACCCCCCCTGGCGGAGTCAGCTCCCAGTCCTCAAACAGAACTGAAACCACTCTGCAAGTCAGGAGTATGTTCATTCCCTTGAAAACCAACAGATGGCCTTTTCAACCTTGGAACTGTAAACGTTGTTCACCAATCTAGGGAGAGGTAGTGGAAGATGATGTCTGCCGCCTGTGTGTGATCAAGCTCCATTCCAAATAGAGGAGAATTTGCCTCCTCCAATCGCATTTTCAGTGCAAAGGCTGTTCTGTTTATCTTGCTTTATGACTGAGTTCTCTGGAGGCGCCTGCCCACTGTCTGAAGGTCAGGATGCACACAGGCCCCTCTGACACAGCAGTGCTGTCTCTGAGTGTTTATCCTGCAGAAATGCTAGAATGTAGGAAAAGACCGAAATATCCCAAACACCAGGTCTGCCGATAAAGACATCCACACGGCGGGAACCTATACAGCAGAACAAAAGGACACAGGCAGAAAAGTCCGTGTCCTACACCAAGCAGTGTTTATGTAAAAAGGGGGAAGGGCGAGATGGTCTCTCTCATGGTGTTTTGTGTTTGGACGGAATGCATGACATTTAGAGGCTGCAGGAAAGCAGAGGAGAAGGGAAGGGGCGTTACCTGACTCTCCTGGGCCCTCTCGTCCTCCTCGGCCTGAGCCTCAGCGTGACCTGACACCAACCAGACAGACAATCGCGAGAGGATCAGAAAATGAATTACAATCTGTTGCCCTAGTTACTGCAGCAAAGAGACAGGAAATGCCATGTGGAACTCCCTGGTGCCCCTGAGGATCCTGGCGCCGAGCCCCGGTCCCCATCTGGACACTGAGGGACCTCAGAGACGCTGGCCCTGCCCACTCGCTGTTCTCTCTGCAGGCTGGCTGGCTCCTGGGGGGGCGCCCAGACCACACCGTCAGAACTGAAAAGAGCAGAGGGTCTACCTTCTGAGTTGCCCTAGCTTCCTGTACTCCTGGGGCTAGGACTGCTGTGGGCAGCTGTCACCTCTGACCTATGCTGTGATGACAACACGCAGCTCAGCCCCGGGACTTCGGGAGTGGGATTCCCCAGCTGTTCCCTCCTCTCACTGTGAGCTGGACTTCACTTCATTCGATGATGGAGAACCGCGGCCACAGCTGGTCCAGGACAGGACAGCCCCTCCCCGGGAGCCAGTCCCCTGGAAGGTGGGTGGGGGTACAGGGGTGCTTTACCTGAAGAGCTGCTCAGCTGCCTCTTGTTTTCCTTGAGTTGGAGCTCCAGGTTCTTTACCTTTAGCTCAAGCTGCACCTTGTCAGACTCAAGAGACTGGACCACCGAGTGCAAAGACTTGGCAGAGGCGTTCTCTCCCCTGAGCACTGTCACCTACAACGCAAGCGTGGGGCTCAGGAGGGGCTGCGGGTGGCGTCCCCCGCTTCCCTCCCTTCCCCCGCACCCCCCCAGCCCTGCCGCGCGCCCTACCTCGTTCCTCAGCTTCTCCAGCTCGGTGTCCTTCTCGGTGAGCAGGGCGCTGGTGATGCTGATGGACTTCTGCAGTGAGGCCTTCTCTTCATCCGCTTCTTTTCTGTACTTGGATTCTCTAAAAGATCAAGGAGGAGGAAGGTTCAGAAATCAACCAAGAGAGCCATTATTAGTGCACAACTGTGCTCTTAAAAAAAAAAGGGGGGAAATAAAAGGAAACCTTCAGTTAATGTTTATAAAGAACAAAAAATGTAACAGGGACGTTTATCAGGGGTTAAGACTATTATGTTTGCAAAATTTTACTTACTGTGAGGGGAGAAATTGTACCTATGCACAGACATGGCAGAATGTGCATATCATTGTGTCCATCCGAATTTAAAGAAACATGTTATTAATTTGGAAGATGTAGAATTTGATTTTAAAAAAAGCTGTTGTGCCCCACCCCCTCCCCAAATAATCTACTAATATCTAATTGTGTTACTTCTTGAATATTATTACCAAGCAGTTACAACAATTAAGAATGCACACATGCAAAGCGACTGTATGAGGTCATGCAGAGCAGTTTTATGCTGGAAGTATCCGTTGGTTCTCACTAATTTCAGTCACTTTTCAGCAAATTCTGAGAATGTGGTTTGGAGAGTATCATGGGCCAAAAGAGAAGCAAAGATGATTAGTCCAGTTCAAACTGAGGGTTACAACTTCTCAGCCCACGCAGCTCCAAGGACCTTGACAAAGTGAATGATGGAAAGGCCAGAACAGAAAATGTAACCATGGGGTTTTGGTTTTTCTTTCCAAAATTCTGGAAGAGAAGAAATGCCTGGGAGCCTTGAGGGAGGTCACTGTGGCCTGGATGCACGCTCTGTGGAGTGGGCCCTGACTCCGAGGTGCCCCCTCAGGACTGCTGGCAGGGAGAGGGCGTGTGGCTTTTAATGGCAAGGAGGTTCCCTAGAATCCAAGGAGTAGGGGGAAGACGGCTGAGCAGGGGAGGAGGAGGGTGAGACTTGGACACAGTCCACAGGGCTGTCTTTGTGCGCCTCTCTACTTCTGGGTCCGTGTTGGTTAAACACTGTGTGTATGCAAACGTGTCTGCCTGGAAAGGCCAGGGTGAAAGGGGGAGACTAAGATGCTAGCTCAACTCAGTGTGAGGTAGCTTTCTGGACAAGACCTAGAGGACAAGAAGCATTTCCTGGAGCAACTGAGCAAATGCAAATCCATCCTAGACTGGTGCGGCCCCGGGGTCCTTTTCTCAGTTTACCACACAGTGTGGAGTTACCACGAGGGGAACTCGGGGTGCTACTTGTCAACACTTCTGTAAATCTAAACCTACTTTTTGCAATCACTTGTTATGCATCAGAGAGCTGGACAATGACTAAGGAGGATAGAAGAATTGATATCTTTGAGCTGTGGTGCTGGAGAAGACTACTGAATGTACCCTGGACTGCCAAGAAAACAAACAGATTCATCCTGGAGAGGGTTAAACCAGGCTGCTCCTTGGAGGTAAGGATTCTGGGGCTTCGTGTGACATACTTTGGACATGTTGTAAGGAGAGACAGGTCTTTAGTGAGGGACATCATGCTAGGTCGAGTAGAGGGACAGAGCAGGAGGGGAAGACCCTCTATGAGGTGGACTGATTCAGTGACTGGGGTAATCGGGATGGGTGTGTCAGAGGCAATGAGATTGGCACAGGATAGAGCACGGTTTAGGGCTGTTGTACATAAGGTCGCTATGAGTCGCAAACGACTCGACAGCACATAACAACAACAACTTTAAGACAAAAAAAAGGAAAAAAAATTTTAAAAAATTACATGCAGTATATGAAACATGACAGGAAAAAGACCTTTTATCACAAAAGCCTTGGGAGACACTTGCTCGCAGGCCCTCCAGCCACGCTGTTCTCACTGGCCGGCAATCTCCGGCAGTGCACGAGTGCCCACAGTCCATCTCTAGGGCACCATCGAGCAGAAACAAGCCAAACTGCTCTTGGAAGGAACTGGGTGAACGCAGAGGAGCATGGAAGCGGTTTGTCCATTTTGAAACCAACTGGAGGAAGAGGAGCCCCAGGCCCAGGTTAGAAGTGGCAGAATGCATGTCTGGTTAGTGAGACCCAAGATATCCGGCACACGAATCACAGAATTCTCATGACTGATGGTGAAGTGGAAATTCTACACAAAGATGGCACTATCAGTGTTGTACTGATCTCGTCGTGTGGCTTACACTGCACACTCCAGCATGGCAAGTGGTAAGAAAAGAATCTGGGACCCTCAGGCAGCTCTTAGATTCAAGCCCCAGGCTTTCTAGCACTGCAAGGGCCGGGCACCAGGGCTGAGAAATTAGGAGTCAGTGACGTGCACCTTGCTGGGCACTGGGACCCTGCGGAGCTGGAAATAAAACACCGTCCAACGGAAGAAGAGATTTTTCTTTTTTGCTACATGGAAAGTAAACGCCTGGGGCTCTTTACAGACTCTCATAATTCTTGGGATTCCTAAGTGTCTGCTATGCTTATCCAACAGCTGATCTGACTGGGAAAATATTTCAAAAGGGTTTTTTATTGTAAATCCAATCTAGGTTTGAAAAATGTCATCTGGCACATTTTTACCTAAAAACATCAACTGGTGGTTGCATCCCAGATTTTGATTCTCCCATAATTAGGAGAAAGATCAGCCAAGATCCCAGAGGTCCTTTGTGTTGTCCTGAGGTGGAACCACCCACCCACCAGCTGGTGGAGAAAGGGCATGGGTGGTATGCTCTGTGCCGTCAGCCAAAACTTTCTTCCTCTTCATGGACATGACCCCCTGGAGGAGGTGAGGCTACTTTCTGAGGGGGCAGCAAGCAAAAGGCTTTGTACTCCAGTTAGCATAGCAGAAGCTGCGTGCTTCAGAGACCTGAGCCTGCTTCCCACGCTAGTGACACAACACAAAGACGTGCCAGGCTCAGCAGGGCTTCACGGCTGGCTTCGAGGCCACTGCAAAGCTTTGATCCCTCCGCATGTGCCAGGAAATGACTAAACTAGGCTAATTCTGCTAAAGGATCTGCAATCCGAGTCACAAATCAGAATGTGGGGGGCCCTGGGAGCCTTCCGTCCCAGTACTGAGGGGGAATATTAATTCATGGACCAAGAAGATAAGTGAAGTTTAATATGAAACATGGGCTACAAACCCCAAGGGGCCATAGGATCCAGATTCTTTTCTTACGACTTCAGGAAGAAATAAGTTCTAGTCATGAAGCAAATACCTTAAAGTGTTACTGGGCAAGCTTTAGAAATGCAAGATAACAAGGGCCAAATATTAGAAACATGAAGAAAAATGCAAATACAGTTAGGAGGGCTCAGTTTGCACTGAACTTCTTTGCTGGATATAGATACAAAGAGAGGCATGTGCTGTGTGTGTGCGCATGTGCGTGTATACGTGTATACCGCTCAGAGTAATTTACAAAACAAAAAGCGAGACACAGAGGGACAAAGGCAGCCAAAAATATGTACAACAGTTTGGTTTACTAAAAAATATATGAAGTTTATTGATTATAACGTGGATAGACTTTCTTGAGTCTTACCATTAAAGACACACAGATATAGCAAAGGAAGCAGGAGTGGGAGAGGGAAAAGAGAGGAGTGAGATGAGCGTTGGTAAGTAGCGCTGGCTCGGAGACAGCCAGACAGTCAGCAACCCACAGAGCGCTTTGTAACCTCGGCTGGACACACTGCAGCCGGGGGCAGCGGCAGCCGCCCCTCACTCTGGCCAGAACCTGGGCATCTACACTAGCAAAGTCACTGTCACTCCCCATGTTCCATGCCTAAGATTCTGATTCTGGAGCCTCTAATAGCTTGAGGAGGGCAAGGAAGCCTGACAAGGCCCCAGCTCTGCTTTCACTTGAGCAGCAGCAAGTACAAGCCTCTAGTCCTGCTGATGGAAGCAATTCGAGGGCAACTCTGCTTTTTCTAGGAGATCTCTTGCAATCTGCTTTGAAGGAAGCTTGCCTAACTCAGGAGACAACTTTTCCTGAGAAGCGGCCGTAATTTTAAACTTGGAAGGAAAGCTTTACTAGGCCTGGTGTGTAGCTGCTGAAAAACTGCAGCAAACCCTGGATGAGGCTGCCAGCTTCTTACTGCACCCCATCCCTCGTTGAGGGGCCCTCAGGAAGGTGCGTGCGAGGCTGCTGCTCTGCTGAGCCCTGAGATACAGTGAGCGTGCAGGCCCGAGAGTCCCGGCGAACTCACCAACTCCTGCCCTATGCAACTGCAGCCCTCAGCCCTCAGCCTCACCATCTGTAACCTTTCTGACTATCAAGTGACATGATACATTGTATTGGATACTATACATTCCTTTTAGCACTCTAAATCCATTACCAAACTGAGTTTCACAGCCCAACGTATTAGCTAAAACATGCTTAAATTGAGAATTTTAAAGCTGTTTGTAACAGTGTTTAGCACTGTTTTCATGGCGACAGGTTAATGAGCACAGAGATAAACAAGTAAAAGAATATGAGTAACTGGGTGGTTTCACAACCGTTGACTCCAAGGGTGGGTGAGGCACTAACAGCCCACACGGTCTTTTGTCTGCATTTACTGCCGTAAACTGCCAAACATATCCAGGGCTTAGGACAGGAGCAGAGGCATCAGGCCGGGAGAGAGCACTGCCAGCAGCCAACCCGGTTCCGACTCGTGACACAAAGAGGACAGGCACGTGCTCGACTGAGGGGCACACAGGGGCTCGAGACTAAAGATGCACGGCCTTTCCTCTCTAAAACATGAAGTAAGCAAGCAGGAAAGAAAAGTCTTCTAAGTATGGCGAGAAGACAATCTATATAAAAATTAGAAGACTTCACTCCTTGGCCAAGCACATCGACATTTTGTGATTTCAAGTCATTGTTGGAACATACAAGGCCACAGTGGATTTCCGGGTGGGATGATCTGTGAGTTTTTAACGCCACATCAAGGTGAGGGGCTCATGCTAGTAAGTCCCAATCCACTTCTTACATTTCCCTGCTGGAATGCTGTAGGAATGAGCCCTATTTTTTTGTTCACTTGTGCTGGAAAACCGATTACAGGAGCTTCTTTTAAAGCAGCCCAGCCTTTAAATGAAACACCCTGGGCCTGAGACGGGACAGCCAGGAGTCCGTACAGAGGAAACCCGTGCAGGCGCAACAGGACAGCCACACCTGGTCACCTGCAGAAGACCTACCTGGACCAGGGGTGTGGCGGAGGCATGAGATCCATGCCCATTTCTGAATGGGAATGAACACACCTCTCAGCGGGTCTTTATCAAGAACAGTCATCCCACGGGGGAGCCTAGCGTCCTAGACAGCTGAATATGGGAGTCAAGTCTCTTTGTGGGCTAGGCCACCGCCATGCTTGCTGGCAGGAAGGCCACTGCTCAGGTACCATGTTGGCAGGACGTCAGTGGGGAGTTCTCGTCCTGAGAGGTGAGAGAATAAACAAAGACTACAAGAGTCTGGAGGAATTATTTCTCAGTTGTGATACTTTGAAAGGTTTCATTGTTGGTTCTGGTTTGGTGTTTGGTTTTTTTTTTTTATTTTTGTTGTTGTTGTGCACCAACAAATCTGATCTGACTGACACAGGAGGAGACTGCCCCTCCTTCTCCAGCAGAGCATCTGGTGGATTCGAACTGTGTACCTTTGAGATTGCAGAGCAGCTTCTTGCCACTAGGCCACCAGAGCTTCCCAGTTTCATTTTTTATTTTAATAAAAGAATAAAAGCACGTCCCTGTTTGGCTAAGCATCAATTGAGGGTCCTACTGCAAATCAGCTCTGGTGGCCTACAGGTAAGGAGGTGTGCTGTCAGCCCAAAGCATGTGGTTTGAGTCCACTACCTGCTTCATGGGAGAGAGAAGACAGACGATCTCCTCCAGTGGATTTCCCGCCTCTGAAAGCCTGCTAGTGGGTCAGCAATAGAAGGATATGAACACAGCACACAACCACCACCACAACCGATGGCAGAGCTGGGGCCTTCAGCCACCTGTCTGTCGTGCAGTGATGTGAAACACAGGACCCTGAACAGCTTGAAGGAGCAGACACCAGACGTCAGGACCCACAAGCCATCAAGCTCCGGTGGGCCACTTCCATCCTTATTCCAAAGATTTGGAAAAATAAAACTAGACTTCTGTTTGAATAGTCTATTTATGACAGAATAATAAAGAACAGGTCTTTTTAAAGAAAGCAAATAGAAACATCTGAAATGGTGTTAAATCCCATTATTACTGAACGAGCTGAGCCCTATAACTTGAATCAGGTACTTGCGTGTTGAGCAGCGGTAGTCTGTGCTGGTGCTGCTGCCTTCTGAACCCAAAAGGTGACCACAGTCTAACAGGAGAGTCTGAATTCACAGTATTGTTTAACTAAAGCAATTGGGCAAGACTGCAAAGTTAAACTACTCTTTTCGTCATGAAAAGGTAACATTGTGCCAGTGGATTTTTCTGTAATTTTATCCATTATGAGTACCCCGCACTATCGCAATGCAGCTGTCGCCCTTTCACATCTGTACGTATCATGTGCTTGCATTTTCTTGAAAAAAACACACTTAAGAAACAAAAGACGCAGGCCTACCTCTTTTTCATTTCTAATAACTGATTATTGAGCACAGATCTCTCTTCTTCCAGCTGGGGAGGAAAAAAACAAATAGAGAAAATTTCAGTTCATAGTTAGCTCAGAAAACTCAGCACCCACGTCACCTTCCCAGGCAGGCAGAGCCGTGAAGACCATCATCTTGCCGCAGTGCCATAAGCTGTACCCCCACTGTTGTTGTTGTTTGTTGTTATGTGCCGTCGAGTCGCTTGCGACTCATAGCGACCCTATGTACAACACTCGCTATGAGTACCCCCCCCACATTACAAAAACACAGGCCCTGGACGCGTCACGGGCGGCTCCCATACCGCAGTACAGTGAAAATCTCAATGGAGTTAAAGCTGTTCTTCCCCGTGTGTATTTATATTAATTCTCTACTATATGCAACAGCACTTTACGAAGAAGCCTAGAATCCTATGAGAATGATCGAACCTGGACACTGAGCTAGGAAGTGAGTACAAGCCGCGGGAAAAAGGGCGCCTGCACACCCGCTCGAGGTGAGGCTGCTGTAAACCTTCAACTTGTGAAAAGCACAGCATGTGCAAAGGGCAGTTAAAGCAAGATGCCTGTATGAAGCTGCACCCTCTTCCCTCCCACAGGGCCCGCCTCTGGAACCAATGCAAGTCCGCTGACTGAGGAAGAACTCCAGACTCACTGCAGGGAGCTGCTTAAGGTCACGGCAACTCAGAGGAGAAAGGCCCCAAGAGTTCAGATGGACTGGGCTGCCACATCGTCCTTCCATGCAGCTGACCTCTGGGCTGACAGCTGAGTACTAGCCACCGTGCCTCAGAGCGCCTCAGACGAGTGAAAACAGTGTTCTTAACACTCAGTTCCTGTCCTTAAACACCGTAAGGCAAGTGTCACTTATTCACAAGCACTGAAGACAGCCCATTTTACCTGATGGGCCTCATCTTACTCACTCACGAGCTCAAGAACACTGTGTACAGTACTGTGTTCAGCACTGGTTAACGTTTTGTGTCAAATGGTAGGCTATGAATTCCAGTGGTCTGACAGACACGATGGGATCACCTCCCACTTTGCGGTCTGATGTGAACAGCCAATTAGTTGAAGCGGAGTCTCCTTGGGGGCATGGCCTGCCTCTTGTATATAAACGGCTGGCTGGTAAAGTTCAGGCTCCTTGACTGTACACTGCTCTCACTGCCTGACGTTCAGTTCTTGGGTCATAAAACTGCTGGTCTCAGGGCTGCTAACTGACCTAAAAAGTCTCTATTTGCAACCCCTTAAGACAGCAAAGGCCTCTAGCTTGCTGTATAAACTACAGATTTGGGGCTCATCAACTCCTACAACATGGGCCAGTACAGCCTGGTGTTCAGATTTGGGATTTGCCATTTCCTTGAAGCAAATCTTTCTCTCTCACACACACAAACTCTCTCACTCCAACAGATACACACTTTAGTGGTTTCGATCCTCCAGAGAACCCAGACTATGACAAAAGGCTACTATAGTCCAGACATTTGTTTCTCATCTAAAAATAAAGCATTTCAAGTGACGTTTTAATTCTAAAATGTCATTACTCTGAAGAATTTTTTTAAAAGACAGTCAATGTTTTGTTGCTGTGGAAAGACATCTTCTACCCCAACTCATACCATACACACTACTTTCAAATCTCATGTGTTTTTGTAAAACAAGGAGTAACATCACAGACCATTTTATAAAGTCTTCCCATCTCTCATTCACTAATTAAACAGTCCTTATGTATACACAGGGCTCCACGGGCTTTGCATTTAAGGGCATCCTTGGAAGCACACAGACCTGCATGCTATCAACATACGCATGTGTTTATCATGATGTCTACAAAGGCTAACACATAGCTATTTCTTCACTATGGACTCTGCGGTCCTGCTCCATAAGATAGACGTTTTTGCTGCATTAACAATTCACATAAGAAGAAGCCTTGAAAGTGTGAAAGGAAGCAAAAAGAGTGGGAGGCAAACTTCAAAAAATGAAACAGGAGAACATCTGGGGAGTGGGAGGTGGCGATGAGAAGGACTTCCATTTTTTCCCTTTATGTCCTTTTATATAGTTCGTTTTCTTTTCAAACAAGGAACCTATTCCACTTTTATCATTTAAAAAAATTTAACAAAAGACAGACAATCAAGGCTGAGAAATGTCTACAGTGGATATCTGAATGCAGAAAGGATATGGCAGGTAATTCAAAGCAGAGAAGATACAGGTGATTTACAGAGATTTGAAAAATGGCTCTGCCTCTGCAGGAAGCAGTAACAGGTCACACACTCCAGCTCTCTCTGACTCATGTGCACGGATGTCACAGGAACAGGAATCAGGACAATGGGTGTGTGCTATGATCCCTAGAAGGGACCTCGAGTGGTGCAGTCCATGGTGAGTTGCTCTGCTAACCCGTCAAGTTCAAGTGCACCAGCAGCTCCGCAGGAGAAAGAAGGCCCATCTCGTCCCATGTGATTGGAAACCCAATATTAAGTTCAGCTGTAAATTAGTTCTGACTTGATGGCAGTGAGTCCATGAGTGATTCCTCATGAAAACCCAGATACGGAGAGAGCCCGCCCAGGATACCAAGCTGCAGTTGGTGGGGTCACAATTCTCCACACTCATCGGTCCTCACCTCAAGAGGACAGGCCAGCTACCCAGTAGACTGTCCAGAAACGTGGACACAGGCACTACTTCCCAGGGACTGGTCAGAGCACAACCTTTGGGGAGAACATCACAGCAGAATTCTGTGCCCTTCACAGTCTATGTCCAGACGCATATGTTTTTGATCTGTTAGATGTGGGATGCTCTGATCAGTTGGTTGGGAAAGTATCACCTACATTCTTGCCACTATAGAGGTAGCCTTTTTTTTAGTATTAGTATGTATTTTGTGGGAAGATTCTCTGAAACATGTAAAATCGTGTTCCTCAACAAGCTTTCAGCCACTGGTTTTTGCACTGATCGATTCTTCTTGCCTGGATAAGCCACCAGCACAATGGTTTGCAAATGACGCTTTTCTAATCTGAGCATCCCTTCTCCGGACTAGCCGGCACTCAACTACCAGGGAAGGCTTTAGTTTCCCTCCATTTCTTTATATCTGTCCACACAGGATCACGGTTTCCTGCCTCAGTCAATAGGACAGAATCTGTTACTCTGATTAACTTTTTTGTGTGATTGGATTGCCCTAGATTTATGCAGTAAAAACCCTTCAGAATGGTTCAGAAGCCCATGAGGCCAGACTCTGTTCTTCTTCAGGCCCTTCCTTGCTTTGTGGCACAGCAGGACTCAGATGCATCCCGTCCTCTCTCCACCCTACCCCCGAAGGAGCCACTGCTGAGGCACCTGCTCATCTGACGGAGAACATTTACAAACTCTCTGGTATTGGACAAGCTCGGGGTTCAAAGGGTACCACTGTCTCTAATTCCTTTCAGTGGCATCCATCAACATTTAAAGCTTTACTCTTCAAATAAACTGTGAAGAGCGTATAAAGACAAACCACGGATTGCTAGGAAACACTTGAAAATACATGTGATAAAGACTTCATATCTAGAATGTGTTAAGAACTTGCAAGACTCAGTAAGACAAGAACAACTTTTTTTTTAAACAAGGGGACAACCTGAACAGTTACTTTACCGATACGAGGAAAATGTACGCTCAGATCCTGGAAGTACCACTCCAGCATCCCTGTGAGGCACACAGGCCTCCTGTGGCTTCGTGGACGTCTTCAGAGTCCTCACTCATCTTCACCGCCAGCCCTCCCCTTCTCGGACAGTGCCACGCACACAGTAGGTGCTCAACGACTATGTGCTGAATGCATACATGTGTCAGAGAGTTCTCCAGCTTAGTCTGGTGAACAGCAACTCTTAAAAGTTATATGAGATCGAGCAAGATGCACCTACTGATCTCTCCTGCTCAGAGAAAGAAAAATCAAAGCCACGTGGAAACAATTAATCCCCAGACCGCGTGAGCCCCAGCACCAAAGGCCCTGAGACCAGACCTAGATGGACCTGGCACTCACTGAGCACCACTCTGGAAGGATCCGATTAGAAGGTCCTGAGTGGAGTGGGGGGAAAACGGAAAACTAAGCTCAAAACCATAAAAGACCCTATCAGGCTTAACTGTTCTGATGAAGACCAGAGGAACTGGAAAGACATACAGATGGAAATGGCCAGCACGGGGAGAAGTGAAGAGTGCTGTCACAGTGTGGGGACTGCCATCAGTGTCCTACAACATAAGGTCTAAGAACTACCACACAGCAGACCGATCTGCAGGACGAGCCGTGTCTGCTGCACCAGCAGCGTCTCCCCGCCACATTCCCAGAGAGGTGGCTCACCTGGGGGCTACTGCCGTCCCTTCTCTGGGAAGCGTTCTGAGGTCCAAAATAGCAGCTTTACCTTGACAGCACAAAACACACTCCTGTGTCGGAGGCTTTCCATCCTCACCTCCCACACAGACAGACAGAATTCTGCTCTCAGAACAGGCAGAGGAGGGGAAGGAGGAGAACTCAGTCGTTTTGGTGACAGAGCCCTTTCAAAAGGAAAGCAGGGGAGAGGGGCAGGCCGGCCCTGCCCTGGAGGCCTTCAATGCCTCGAGCCTTCTCCTTCCTGGGTGATCAGCAGCAGGAGAAAGGCCGGCCATCTCACACAAATCCAAGGGGCTGCCCTCACCTTGACCGCTGCATGGGTTCACTCGAGACGGCACCGGACGGCTCTACCCTTCCCTCCGCCCAGTGAGTCCCACAGCGCTGGCCCAAGGGCATGTCTTCATAACGTCACCCACCCCAAAGACGCTCAGCCCCCTTCCCAGAGGGCTCCACCTGCCACAGGGTGGGGAAAGGTGCGGCTATGCAGTTACAAAGACACAGGCAGACGGCGGGCCTTGGGACTGGGTTAGTATCATGAATACAAGTATGAATTATATTATTATGTATGAGTGTACACATGTGTGTATGCCTGGGAATATATACATATATAAATATAAATATGCTTATGTCCTCATGTACACGCACGCACGTGCACACACACAGACACAGGTGGCATGGCCCTTTATCAAAGGATGCTGCTGATGG